TTTTGAGCCATGACTCCTTCTATTCTGGCTCCCAATAACACAACAAGACAAACACATTTTAACACTCCTATGGAGCCTACAGCCCTGTGGGGGAGAGGCAGCTGCACCTCCAGCTGATAACATGACGTCATCGTGACGTCGGCCCTTAAAGGGTCTATTAATCAGTTAGACACAAAAACATGAGAGAATTAGGTCCAGGTAGAAAAATACAGAAGTTAACCTTTAAGTAAACAGCGTAGCTCCTTCAGAGGAACAACTCCGAAACTGTCTGATTTACATATTTATCTTGTTACCTCACAAACGACTATAAATACACACAATATGTGTAAATCCTGTCCATCTACACACAGCAGTCTGCACACGCACACAAATACACACAGTACCAGATGAAGCTCTGCAGAACGTCTCGCTGAAATGAGAAGCAATGAACGAGTGATGTGGTGCGTTCAGAGCCCAGCAGACTGCAGGAACATGCAGCGCTGTCACATAACAGTACTAACCTACTCCACACTGTTTCCAAAGTTGGTACAAGAACTGATATCTGTCACACATTTGGAAAAACATCATTTTATTAAGCTGAACTGTTTATGAGAAAAGTCTTGTGCAATATACACGATACAAGATACACGAAATAAAAATAATTATAATGCTTTTATCTCAAGGAATTTAGAGGTTAAATGTTTTATAAAATTATGTGAAATAAAATGAAAAAATGAAAGAGGCTTTGCAGAAACTGACTTCAAACCTCAGAAAAAAAACAACTAAACTTTAGGATAAATATATAAAAAATGTCTGTTTTGATCCTCTTTGTCCGTCTGATAATAATAATAACAGTAATACATACATCCAGTTCAGTTTGTTGTTCCAGACACCAGCTGTTCCACAAACTTAAGCTCAAAAAATCAATTTCATACCAGGACAGAAAATGACATTTTGTGGATTATATTCCAATTTCTGGCCAATCCCACGAACTGTTATGAAAACATGAGATTACAGAGAAATGACAGTAAGATCGTCTCCATCGTCTCTAACTGATGGTCTTTGGTCTGCTCCACTCATCTTATCACAGTTTTTAGATTTCGGACATCATGACTGCAGAAAGAATCACAGTTTCACATGGCCAAAAGTATGTGGACATCCCCGTGCAGACATGAACTCCACAGGACTCTTAATCGTCTCTCTGAGGAGATTCCTGACTCATCATAACCAGAACTCACAGCTGCTTACTCAGCAGAAAAGCAAACGGTTTCATTCTGTGGTGAATTATCATTAATTAACTACAGCTGATAAAATCTGCTGAGGGCGACCGCTATCCAACAACAACTAAAGTCGGGAGCTCCTTCATGACCTTTGACTTGTTACGTGTCTTTATAACAACCTGACAAGAAAAAACACAACAGAAAAGCAGATTTTTAACATTTTTACCTTCTTATAAAACAGATGAACTCGTATTTTACTCTGAAGGTGTTTACAGACAGCTGATGTCATCCTGATTGTCTACACTGTCATTTTATGATGTTCTTTATTCTGCACGTCTGACTCCAGGGAGACAGATTCCCTCCTCAGTTGCTCCCTCTGAGCTTTCTTCCCGTTGTTTCCCATTAAAGGAGTTTTTCCTTTTCTGCTGCCGGTTATAATTTGTGTCATGTTTTTGTTGTCCAATCAAAGGACTTCTTCGTCATGTCATCAGTACAAGCATGCTTTAAGTTAAAACCATCGTAACTACTAGGGGTTGGAATCACCAGAGGCCTGACGATACGATATTATCACGATACGATATTATCACGATACTTAAGTCACAATACAAGATTATTGTGATTTTAAACGTGCTGCGATTAGAGGTGGGAATTACTGGAGGCTCCAAAATACAATATTATCACGATACTGAAGTTATGGTACAATATTATTGCAATTTTAAGCGTGTTGTGATTAGGGGTGGAATCAACAGAGGCCCCACGATATAATTTATTGCGATTTTAGGTGTGTTGCAATTAAAGGTGTGAATCACCAGAGGCTACATGATACAATATTATCACGATACTTAAGTCACAATACGATATCAAGATACTTACGTCATGATACGATATTATCACAATACTTAAGTAACGATATGATATTATCACGATACTTAAGTCACGATACGATATCAAGATACTTACGTCATGATACAATATTATCACAATACTTAAGTCACGATACGATATTATCACGATACTTAAGTCACGATACGATATCAAGATACTTACATCACGATACGATATTATCACAATACTTAAATAACGATATGATATTATCACGATACTTAAGTCACGATACGATATCAAGATACTTACGTCACGATACAATATTATCACAATACTTAAGTCACGATACGATATTATCACGATACTTAAGTCACGATACGATATCAAGATACTTAC